ACAGCACCCCCCCCACACACACACAGCACCCCACCCACACACACAGCACCCCTCACACGCAGGGCCGGATTAACATAGGGGCTGATGGAGCTGCAGCTCCAGGCCCAGGCCCATGGAATAGGCCCATTTAAAAAAATAATAAATAAATAAAATAAAATTTTTTATTTTTTTTATTTTTTTTATTTTTTTACACACTACTCTTAGGTTTGCCACCTGACTGGTATTTTAAGGCACAGCTGGTATTTGAGGCTGCCTGGCTGTGACGGTATTGCAGTAATACCGGCAATACAAATGCAAATATTAGTCTCAGTATAAACGGAGATTACTCTGCAATACCAGCACCGGCCAGTAGGGGTCACTGTGTGTGGAGAGAGGCAAGCATAGGAAGTTACAGAATATCCCTACCTCTCTCTACTACTCACTGATCCGTGGGGGAGCAACTACACAGCGCAGACAGTCCAGACAGCAGCTCAGGTAAGTGAGGGATGGGGGAAAGGCAGCAGGGACACATGGGGACACTGAGACACTAGGGGACATATGGGGACACTGAGACACTAGGGGACACAGACACTAGGGGACACATGATGACACATACACTAGGGGACACTGAGACACTAGGACACAGACACTGGGAGACCTGGGAACACTGACACTTGGGGACACTGGAAAATATGGGGACACTGAGACACTTGGGGACATGGGGACACAGACACTAGGGGACACAGATACTAGGGGACACATGGGAACACAGACACTAGGGGACACAGACACTAGGACACATGGGGACACAGACACTGTGAGACCTGGGGACACAGACACTGTGAGACCTGGGGACACTGGAAAACATGGGGACACTGAGACACTAGGGACACATGGGGATGCTGAGACACATGGGGATGCTGTGAGACATAGGGACATTTGGAGACATTGGGACACGGAGACACTATGTCCCCCAGCCAGTGTCCCTAGGATCTCAGTGTCCCCAAGTCTCCCAGTGTCTGTGTCCCATGTCTCTCAGTGTGCCTAGTGTCCCCATGTGTCCCAATGTCTATGTCCACAACTGTCCCCATGTCTGCCCAAGTGTCTGTTTCCCAGCCAGTGTCCCCTAGTATCCCAGTATCCCCTAATCTCCCAGTGTCTGTGTCCCTAGTGTCTTAGTGTCCCCAAATGTTTCAGTGTCTCCATGTCTCCCAGTGTCTGTGTTCTTAGTGTCTCAGTGTGCCTGGTGTCCCCATGTCTCCCAGTGTCCCTATATGTCCCAGTGTCCACATGTCTATGTCCACAACTGTCCCCATGTCTCCCAGTGTCCCCAAGTGTCTGTCTCCCAGCCAGTGTCTCCTAGTCTCCCAATGTCTGTGTTCCCATGTCTTTGTCCCTAGTGTCTTAGTGTCCCCAAATGTTTCAGTGTCCCCATGTCTCCCAGTGTCTGTGTCCCTAGTGTCTCAGTGTCCCCATTTCTCCCAGTTTCCCTAAATGTCTCAGTGTCCCCATGTCTCCCAGTGTCCCCATGTCTCTGTGTCCCCGGGTCTCTCAGTGTCCCCATGTCTCTCAGTGTCCCCAGTATCCTAGTGACATGGGGACACACTGAGACATTGGGACACTGGGGGAAATGGGGACACAGACACTGGGAGACTAGGGGACTGGGCGAGATGGGGACACTGACACTGTGATACATAGGGACACTGAGACACAGGGTGACTTGCAAGACTGAGACACTGGGAGACAGTGAGACACTGGGAGAAATCCATCTATACAGCAGAATCAAACTGTGAGTAGTTTGTTGGTGATTTTACAGAATTTTCTCTGATGTCACTCCTTGTGATTTACACGCATAACTAATTAATTATGCAAATGATTAAGGCTGGTATTTTTTTCCAAGAAAGGTGGCAACCTTAACTACTCTTCACATACTCTTGCTTAAAGGAGCATTATAGTGTCAGGAACACAATCATGTATTTCTTACCCTATTATGTTAAAACCACTACCCTTCTTGCCTCCCTAAATATAGTAAAATATTACTTGTATTCAATTCTGCAGCTGCTGGCTCAGAAGTGGTGGTCTGAGCAAATTACAATACTTCCCCATAGGATTGGCTGAGACTGTCAACTAGGCAGATCAGGGGCAGAGCCAGCACAAGTCCAACATAGCCCTGGCCAATCAGCATTTCCTCATAAAGATAAATTGAATCAATGCATCTCTATGAGGAAAGTTCAGTGTCTGCATGCAGAGGGTGGAGACACTGAATGGCAATGCTGCACACTAGGCAGTACAGACCCAGGAAGCACCTCTAGCAGCCATCTAATGAGCGGCCAGTGGAGTTATTTTCTCTGAAAAGACAGTGTTTACTGCAAAAAGCCTGAATGGAATGATTCTACTTACCAGAACAAATACAATAAGCTGTAGTTGTTCTGGTGACTATAGTGTCCCTTTAAGTTTGGAAGCTTAAGAGGGATATATGAGTTTAGGTAATGCAGACGTTGGTCTCTCTAACACTGTGGCATGTCCCCTTTCTTCTACACTCACTACAGACACCTTTTCTCCGTCTCAGACTATACCAGGAACTTCTGCCTGCTAGTAAGAAGGTAAGGAGACAAGTGGACCAGCGAGTGCTAGGGGACAGTCCTTAGAAAGCATGGAATGAGCGCATCATTAGATGCATGTATGTCAAGCTCAAGGTGCTGCCTGCATTGTATGCCCTTAGTTGGACAGCCTGCAGGATTGGCAGGCAGCCTGACATGCATTCATGCCAGGCTGACCTTCCAATTCTTTGGACAAACATGCCCCCTTTTTGGGCATGTTCACCCCTTTTGGCAGGTCTTGTCACGTGATTTGCGCCAGTGGCACACCCTTTTACCCCGCCCATTGACTTCCTGCTTCACTGGACACTGCTGTTAGGGGTTATGGATTTACTTGAAAGATGAAAGCATAAATTAGAGAGAAATTAGCATAGAGTATGTGTTTTCTTATAGCTGCATCCTATGAGTTTCCATCCAGCACCATCTCCATCAGATACATGACGCTTGGGAGGTATGATTGTTTTAGTGTTTTTGGTCGATAAGATTCCGTAATTAGGCCCATCATAATTGTCAGCACCAGGCCCACTATGCTCTTAATCCGGCCCTGCTCACACGCACCCCCCACCTCAATGCAATATGTGTGTATTCAGCAGTGTGTGTGTGCGTGTATTCAGCAGTGTGTGTGTGTGTGTGCGTGTATTCAGCAGTCTGTGTGTGTGCGTGTACTCAGCGGACTGTGTGTGTGTACTCAGTAGTCTGTGTGTGTGTACTCAGCAGTCTGTGTGTGTGTACTCAGCAGTCTGTGTGTGTATTCAGCAGTCTGTGTGTGTGTATTCAGCAGTGTGTGTGTACTCAGCAGTGTGTGTGTACACTCAGCAGTCTGTGTGTGTGTGTACACTCAGCAGTCTGTGTGTGTGTGTGTGTGTGTGTACTCAGCAGTCTGTCTGTATGTGTATTCATCAGTCTCTGTATTCAGCAGACTGTGTGTATGTATTCAGCAGTCTGTGTGTGTATGTATTGCATTTGTTGGAGATACTAATAAATATAAGCTTAATTTTATCTGTTTATATCATTATTTAAAATTTGTATAATTGAACTCTCTGTGTTCTTTTAAAACAAAAGTTATTAGTTCAGACAACAGTACGAGTTGTTTTTTTCTAAACTTAAACCTCAGTATTTGGGTTTAATTGCCGTGTTGGCACTTTAAGGAGAAAAAATGTTGGCATGTATTGCGGTTTGGGCACTCGGGCTCAAAAAGGTTCGCCATCACTGCCCTAGGGAGAGGAAAGGACAGAAATCCGTAAAAACAATGTATAAAACTAATAATTTATAAAACAATAATACAGCATAATAAGAATATGAATAGTAACAATTAAAAGCAAGAATTTATTTCAAAATCAGCATTCAAGTTGCTTATTTTTATTTAATAATGTATTTTCTGTCACATGGGGTGGAGGGTACCAAATTGATTAGGAGTATCATAGCTGTAGTGTTGGCAATACAAATATATTCCTAAAGCTACAGTATTCTTTTAACATGGAATGGGTAAATGTCAGAATCTCTGAGGGAAGCAACATCATTTGTCTGATATCCTCAGTATACAGATGAATGCCATTAACTCAACACATCGGGATCTTAAAGGGACACTCAAGACCCTTACAGCACTTTAGCTTGTCGTGTGATATATGTGTAAAGTAGTGTTATTTAAAGAAATAAATACTTTTTTTAATGTACAGATTTCAGTGGTTTTTAAATCTACCCATAATGGTGAAAAAAAGCAGAATTAAATGCGTGTTTACATTGGGGTATATCTACTAAACAGACATTTTTTATTTATTTTTTAGACAATGGAGAGTGCCTTTAACCAGTCTTGATTTCAATGTTTTGGGGGCTAAAGCGTTTACAGCAATAATAATAATAATAGCTAAGTTGAGCGTCCAA